GCGCTCCATGGCATCGGACCTGGTTACCTTCGAGACCGCCTCCTGCCACAGATTACCTCCCACCGACCTGTACGCTCCCACAGAGTGGGTCTCCTCAGGGTGCCGTCAGCCAGACAGTGCCGGCTGGCGACCCCAAGGGGGAGGGCCTTCTCTGTGGGAGCACCCACCCTCTGGAACGAACTGCCCCCAGAGATCAGGGCCCGCGCCCTCAAGACATGGTTGTTCCAGCTTGCGGGACTGGCCTAAGGGATTTTAAAGGGGTTTTAATTACTTTTAATTAGATCACAGTTAAATATTTCATTTTAATTAATTTTAACAGGGGTTTTGTATTTTTTGTATTTTAATTGATTGTTAGCCGCCCTGAGTCCGAAAGGAGAAGGGCGGGATATAAATGTAATTAAATAAATAAATAAATAAATAAATAAATTGGAAAATCTCTTGCTTGCTTCTTCAGAATGCAAAGTTCATGTTTTATAGCTTGAAGACACCACAGCGTAATATCCTAAATAGCAAGTTAAAGCAATGTTATTTACAGTTAATTAAGCAAGCATATTTGTTTATTGAAAAGTACATCCAAAGGATTCACAGTGGGAAGCGACCATATAAGTAGATAGACTGGAAAAAGCTATACTGGGAAAGCTCATCTTAATTGTCATGAAAGGATCCACACTGGGGATAGACCGCATTAATGCACAGAGTGTGGAAATAGCTTTACTTGGAAAACACAATTCTCATAAAGAGCATATAAATCCATGGAGGGTAGAAAGAGCCTTTCTGAGGAGAGAGGTGATAGTGGCCACCAAAGTATTGGATGGTAAATAATAAATATATTTATATTATAAATTCAACACGTAAAGGAGAAAAGTATAATTCCTGTGTAAAACATATGCAAATTGCTACTCTGAGAAGTCTATTTAGTTATATAAAATTAAGAAATATTTTTTTAAAAAAAGTACATTCTACTGTATCAAATGATATCAAGTTTCTGGTACAGTTGTTTTAAGAGTTAAAGCTGATAATTATGAAACTGGTGCTATTTATAATTACTGAATAAATGACTCTTTTCCATTTTCACAGGAAGTCAACTAGTGGCTTGTTTTATTCCCATCCTCATATCTTTTCTTTTGGATGAAAATGCCCTAGGATCCATTTCAAGTTCAGCAAAGTATCTTCATGAGTTTGCTTTGAGTTACCTGATGCAGATTGGTCCACAGTATACGTCAGCCTTTAAAAAATTAATGGCTTCTTCCCCATCAATGAAAGCAAGACTTGAGTCAGCCGTGAAAGGAAATCAAGAAAGCATCAAGGATAAGGCAACACCTAAGCATCCAAAGAATCCTGTGAAAGGCTCAAGTATTCAACTAAAGACTAACTTTCTGTGAAAAGGACCTCACCTTAAACCTTAAACATCCTGGTTATATTGAAAAGTGTTTTTTTTTCAGGTATTATCATGGAGATTTTTGTTCTCAGTTCTATTATGCATTATTTAATTTTGTATAATGCTCCAATTCCAGAGAAGTGCATGCATGCACCCATCTATCTATCTCTCAGCTGACTGACTCAGTAGCAGCTACTGAACTAAAGCTATATAGTACCAGTTGCAAGATCTGTTTGCAAATACAATTCCCAATAAGAGGCCCATTCAATTGTTAAAATATATATTACAAGATTTTTTTAAAGTTGCAATTTTATTTGGAATATACTATAACACTCTTGAATAAAATATAGTGAAGACTTAATGTGTTAACAACTTGATACACTTATATTAATAAAGTTACTTTTATTTTAGTCTTGAATCTTAGCACAAACGTCAACCTAAGGAAGCTCCTATCCATTGCTATTTCTTGATAATACAAGTTTAAAACCACAATTGGGACAGGAACTTTCATCGCGAAATGATGCTGTTGTTAAGTGAGTCACACCTGTTGTTATGCAAACTTGGCTCTCCCCCCCCCTCCCCAATGATTTTGCTTGTTGGAAGCCCCCGGGAAAGTCATAAATGGAAATCATGTGAGCCAGAAACATTGCAACAATTGTAAATATATGTCCATTGACAAGCACCCAAATTTTGATCAGTGGGGATGCTGTGATGGTCGTAAGTGTGAGGATCAGTCGTAAGTCACTTTTTTCAGCACTGTTGTAATTTTGAATGGTTGCTAAACAATAGTAATAGCAATAGCACTTAAGACTTATATACCGCTTCATAATGCTTTACGGTCCTCTCTAAGCTGATTACAGAGTCAGCATATTGCCCCCAACAATCTGGGTCCTCATTTTACTGACCTTGGAAGGATAGAAGGCTGAGTCAACCTTGAGCTGGTCAGGATTGAACTCCTGACAGTGAGCAGCCTGCAATACTGTATTCTAACCACTGCGTTACCAAGGCTTACAATAAATGGTTGTAAATCAAGCACTCCCTATAATGATTTTTTTGTGTGTGTGATAATTTGCTGGTATGAACTCTTAAACAAAACCACAGAGGAGCTACTTAGTATATAGTATGTTCACTTTTGGCTCCTTGAAGTGCATTACCTGTTCATTTTAGATGACAAGTAGGGAAAATTACCTCTAATGCTAGAATTAATGACACAAAGTACATGGCTAGCTCTTTTAATCTGACTAATTTGTTAAAAATGGTTAAAATGTTACTTTTGCTATCCCGTTTTAATTGTAAATTTAATCATGAAATTCTTTACAGTTCTATACAGTATTGTGTTATACTAATTTAGTCATCACATAATTAAGTAAAAGGACTATTCTTGAAATCCACAGAAACATAAAATTAGTGTTGAGTAACTAAAACCCACATTTAAATTATTATTGATCACCAATGAATTGTGGAGCAATTAAATGTTGATGACAATTCACTCAAATTCTGTAGTTTTAAATATTTATATATCCAAAGTTAAGCACATCTGTTTATGAGTATATCAATGGGACTTTTTACTACCAATACATTTTATTTGATTTTAAATGTATCATGCGAAGCAGATCATTGAGGCTTACATATCTTTTTAGAGTATGAAAATGATTTGAGGCAGTACTATCATATGAGACATTACATTATTTATTGTAATCATTTTGTAGTCTTGAAACATTGATGTACAATCATCCATTCAAATATCAAAGACTCTAATGGGAATGAATTACTTTTTCAAACTGAGTGTTATCTGAACTGTACTGTAGTTTGAATTATAAGAATAAATAATCTGGTAACAAAATATCTGCACACAACAATCAAGCTCAAAGAGCATCAAGGATTTCAAAATAAACAATCACAATTAACTAAAAATGGATCCTATTTTATAGAGAAATGTAGATGTTAATTCCACAATGATTACAGTATTTTTTAAAATTGTGCTGGCAATCATTGCCCTTTAATTCAGTATTATGTGAAGTAAAGCAAATGTTCAGATGACTATAATACTCCCATTAATTTGAGGAAAATAAAAACATCTGTATATCCAATACTCAGGAAGTGATTGTATTTTATTATACAATTTGTACATAAAATTGTAAATTGTACAGATCTAACCACTTGAGCAATGGTGTCATTTTTCTAATTTACATAAAGCTAATTTTCATCAATTAAATCTGTGTCTTTGTCAAATGATTCTGCATACGTATATTGTATATTGTATCATATATGATTTTTATAACTTTTCTCCAGTATTATGTAGTGGGATTGCATCTGGGAGTGCTTGGTTTTAATTTATTGTTTTTATTCAGTAGGGAGAACAGAAATCACATATGACACATCCTTTGTTTTTTTAATAAAGATGGGTCAATCCGAAAGACTGTTTCTCCAAAGATAAAAGTCTGCTTCTACCACCAATGCATTATTTTTATTTAATTATGTGAAGGCACAGGATTTTATTCAGGAATGTTTTCACATTGTTAAGTTAGTCTGAGTGAATAAAATTAAATAATGAAGGAAGTACATATAAATGTATTTTTAGTAATCGAGATAATTACACAGAATGCACTCAGCTGCCACCTCAAATTTAGGAAATCTGAAAAGTAATCGTTATGCTGCATCTTGAAAAATAAATACCCATAAAACCCAAATATAAAAAATACACTTATGTATATTGTGTAACCACTGAGTTAAAAATGAACTTCTAGATCATATTTTTCCATGCTTGTTTATTCCTTTTTATTAGATTTTTATTCTGCTTTTTAGGGAGCATGTTGGCTCAGCAGTTAAAGAAGCTGCTCTTGTCATCTGGAAAGCTCACAACCTGAATTCGAAACCTGGACATCCTGTCACAGGGTGAGCTCCTGTTACTTGTCCCAGTTTCTGCCAACCTAGCAGTTCGAAAGCATGCAAATGCAAGTACATAAATAGGTATCACTTCAGTGGGAAAAATGTCAGTTTAGGAAAGGATGCGGAGGTTTTGAGGGATATCAGTTTAGGAAAGGATGCAGAGGTTTTGAAAGAAGTCAGGTGTCTCTCAGGTGCTACTGCCAGCAGGGCAAGAAGCATATTTTTAAGATAGTCAAAAATGCTAGTAGGACTGCGATGTTGATGCTATTGTACATCTTGGCATGAATAATCTGTCCCAAAAAGATGTACTCTCTCTGCAGAATGATTTCCAGAGCTTGTGGCAGGAACTTTGTAGGATAGGCTGTAGGCTTACTTTTTCAGAGGTTTTACCCAGTGCTTTTTTTATAAAAAAAAAAAAAAAAAGTGCCAGAACTCACACACGTCATACAATCCGCCTTGCCTACCCTACAAGGTTCCATCCAAAAAAGGTGCCAGAACTCCATTCTGGGCATTCTATGAGAAAAAAACCCTGGTTTTACCTATATAAAAGGAACAAAAATGAAAAGGCCAGGGTATAATGGAGGTATAATGTGGCTAAAGGAGTGGTGCAAAGAGGAAGGCTTTGGTTATATTAGTCACGATGTCTGCAGCTGGTCCACTGAAAGACAGTACAAAAGAGATGGTTTGAATCCATCAAAGAAATGGACTAGGTCAGTGGTGGCGAACCTATGGCACACGTGCCAGAGGCGGCACTCCGAGCTCTCTGTGGGCACGCGTGCCGTGCCCCGGAGATGGTGAGGGACTGGCCCCCGCCACCCTGGCCCCACCCACCTAGTCTGCCATGACCACCGTGGCCATGCCCACCTGGCACCCAGTGATAAATAAGTGGGTTTTGGGTTGCAATTTGGGCACTGGGTCTCTAAAAGGTTCGCCATCACTAGACTAGGTTACTTGGCATTAAATTCACAGATTTTCTGGAGAAACATTTAAACTAAATAATGGGGGCAGAGAGTTAATTGATAAGAACATTTCTGTCCTCAGCAATTTAAAACTAATAGGGTTATCAGTTCTTGAAACAAAAATGTTTGTGCGGATAAGAATATCAACCTTGTTGTCAAGGAAAATCAAACCCTACCAACTGCATGTCTGATACACTGAAAATTAAAACTGGCAAAACAACACCTCATTTTACCATGTACCTGTTAAGTCTACATTTACTGGGATTACAAGCCATTGCAAACTAGGGATGAAAATAGATGTCTGCTACACTGATGACCTTGTGGATAGTACACTAATTCCATTGGTGTTTCTTCTTATACTGTGTCAAGGACACTATAGATGGGATCAGATAATTTTCTTTAAAAGAAAAATATTATCTTTTCTTACTTTAATGAGAACAGAAATGAAAAGGACCACGCTTCTTGTTTGTTTGCCTTGGCTACTGACTTAGTCATATAGCCTTGAGGAAATCTGGAATTATAGGGGCGCTGTTTTAAGAGAGAGAACGTGAGCACATTTGTAATGGTCGCCATTTTTCCTCTGCTGACTAACTTGCCATCAGAGAATAACCTGCACAGCTTCAGGACTAGGGGATTCTTTGTCTGGTTCTGTGTGCATGTGTAAGGTTGAACTATTTTTGTCCATGTGTGACAAAAGGATCCTCCTAGATTTGTTATTTATCAATCAAATTTTGGTATTGTCTATCTCAGCCTTAGAATGAGTCTGGGCAGTTTACAGATAAAAGCATAAAAATACAATACATACCAAGTTTAGTAAAATGGAAGCCAAAAACAGATTTAAAAAAAAGTTAAAAATATTTTATGTATTAACTTAAGGTTGGCAAAAGAGAATATTATTGGAAGAAGAGGAAATCAAGTAAAGCTATTATATGGACTATAAAATTATAGAAATTAATTATTGTTTTTTAAACACTAACCAAGACAACACGATGTTTACCAAATATTAAGATGTATGTTAAAAATCAGTAAAACATTTTTTTTTAAAGTTAAAAATAGAAAGGCAGCAGGAGTGCCTTCAGGGTGCTAACTACCCCTAGAGTTGTATGCCTCACATTGAGCCCCACACGAGTTGGAAGAGTCAGGTCTTCAAGCTTCTCCTAAAGACCAGGAGAGTAGGGGCCCATCTTACCTCTGGGGGAAAGATGTTCCATAAGACAAGGGCAATGGCAGAGAAGGTTTTCTTCCTGGACCAGTCAAAATTCTTTAACTGACAAGATCTCTAACATCCCTTCCCTGCCTGCTTGCATGGGATGGATCAATGTGATGAGGGTGGGGCAGTTCCTCAGGTAACCTGCCCGATGCCATTGTAGGGCTTTAATGATAATAATCAATATCTTCAATTGGAGCCGGAAGCGAATCAGCACCCAATGTACTTCACATAGCAAGGGTGTTACATGTGCCATTCTTGAGTAACCCCAAATTGCTCAGATGGCCACATTCTACACTAGCTGTTGCTGCTGGATACTCTTCAAGGACAGCCCCATGTTTAGCTCATTGCTATAGTCCACATATGGGAGATGAACAAGGCATGAGTGACCAAGAGAAGGCCTCGCAATCTAGGAAGAAGCATAACTGAAGCACAACA